GCCAGTCTGTTTCTTTCTCAGCCCTTTGGCTAGAAATAGCAGGTTTTTCTTGGGGCATTTTTTTGGCTGCATCCATTGGGGTTTTTGGGTTGCCAGCTTTTCCAATAGCAGTCTGGGATTTAAAGGTAAAAAAGAAAATCCAAGGAACTCCGTGCCCTGGTCATCCCTTTGGTCCTGAGGTTCTTAGCCAGTTTGCCTTCTTCTTTCTACCTTTTCAAATCTTCTTATATTTGCTTTAAATGTAACATTCAGGGTTTTTGTCGTACTTAGTGGGAAGAATAGGGAAAAGCGTCTCTACTCCATCTACCTAGAAACAGAAGTCCTCTAATCACTCTGAAGAAAGCAAGCAGTTTGGGTAGTTTTCTTAGACATTAGGCTTCGGACAAAGCTGAGAGACAGACCTGATTAATTCTATGATTAAAGCAAATATCCCCGATTCATGGGCACTAGAAGCTGTTATGCCAACTTCACATCCTACTGTGTATCATTATTAATGATGTCCACATGCTTCTCTGATTCATCTTTGTTCCCCAACCTCATCTCTCAGGGCTCAGCATAGTGTCAGGCATAAAAGATGTTCAAGCTTTAATAATAACAGTAATTGCTATTTATTAATTGCATATTATGTGCTGGGCATTTAATAAAAATATTTTGAAATTGTTTGAACAACACTGTGAGGTTGAAATTGTTTGAACAACCCTGTGAGGTAGATGTTATTATTCCCATTTTACAAGTGAGAATTACTAGGCTCAGAGAGGTTAAGGGAAGGAAGTGAACCTGAGAGGGATTAAGTAGTCAACCAAAGTCTCCAGATGTGGCAGAGGTGTGAATTCAGGTTTGCCCCACTCACTGCTGTTGCTTTTTATGTCTAGCCAGCCTTTTGTTTTCATATTTTTTTGGAGACAGAGTCTCACTTTGTCACCCAGGCTGGAGTGCAGTGGCATGATCTCGGCTCCCTGCAACCTCCACTTCCTAGTTTAAGAAATTCTCCTGCTTCAGCCACCCAAGCAGCTGGGAGTTCAGGCGTGCACCACCACACCTGGCTAACTTTTGTATTTTTAGTAGAGATGAGGTACCACCATGTTGGCCAGGCTGGTCTTGAACTCTTGACCTCAAGTGATCTGCCCACGTCAGCCTCCCAAAGGGCTGGGATTACAGGTGTGAGCCACCACATCAGCACTGGCCAGCCTTTTTAGATAGTCTACAGTAACCATGCTCAGGTCAGCCAGTGCCTGACTGGGCCAGAGACTGGGGCCCCCACACTACTATTTCTAAAAGAGAGGAGATAGTGTGGGGACGCTGTCTGCAGCTGGAGACTTTATTTTCAGAAGAAGAAATCATACTGGAAGCAAAGGGGGTGCATTGTCGAATGTCTGGTAATTCTGGAGAGACGACTGCAAATTAAGAGCGCAGGCTCTGTAATCCCAGCACTTTGGGAGGCCAAGGTGGGAGTATCACTTGAGCCTAGGAGTTGGAGACCAGTCCCGGCAACATAGCAAGACCTGTCTCTAAAAAAAAAAAACCAAAAACAAACAAACAAACAGAAAAACAAACAGTGCAAACTCTGGAGTCAGAATTCCTGAGTCCAAATCCTGGCTGGGCCACTTAACTTGCTGTGTGGTCTTGGGCAAATTACTCAATTGCTCTGTGCCTCAGTCTTCTCATCAGTGAAAGGGTAACAATAATAGTAGTACCTACATCATAGGGTGATTGTGAAGATTAAATGAATTGTTATACATACCACACTCAGAACAGTGCCTGGCACAAAGGGCATGCCCAGCAAAGACTGGCTATATATAAAGAGGAATTAATAGTAAATGATGAAGGAGACACAGCTCTGAAAACAAGAGCATCCAGTCAAGAGAGGGGACAGTGCCTTGGGATGAGGGAGGCAGTAAATCAATCAGCTGCTTGTGGGGAGGGGCAATGGGGACTTCCCTGCAGAGAGGGCACTTGGCCCGAGTCTTACAAGGCGTGCAGGAATTAGCAAGGAAGGTGGCAGAAGGCACGGATCTTCTAGGCAGAGGCACTAGCTTGGGTGGAGACCCAGAAGCTGAAGAGCCTTAAACCTGAGTCCAGGATAAGGAGCCTTGGGGAAGGGAAGAAGCTAGGAAGAGACGGGAGGGAGGCCCAGGGGGAGGAGACCACTCTTTGCTGGGAGACCCGCTCCAGTGAGAGAGGCCTTGGCCTCCTCGGCTTCTCAGGCCTCAGCTTCTGCCCATCCCGCCAGCCCCAGGAACTCTGCCCCTCGGAGGCAGGGAGGAGATGTCAGATTTCTCCTCTGGCAGCTGAGGGAGCCCTCAGGAATTGTCACAGTCTCTGAGACTTACAGCCAGCTGGAGATCTCATTTCCCTAAGCATCAAGGCTACACTTTTTCCACTGTTAATAAAAGATGTGTTCTGGTGACACTTGAGTGGGAGTGAGATTCTGTTAGAGTGACAGGTGGCTCTTCTACCCTGCTAGCAGGAGAAGGAGCCCAGCTTGGAGGGAGCAGGGAGAAAGGATTCAA